TACATAGCAATTTGATGGTATCCACAATATGCATCAAGAAAGCTAAGTCGGTTGTGGCATGCAGTTAGGTCCACCAGTATATCTATCATTGGTAAAGAAAAACTATCTTTTGGGCATGCTTTGTTGACCATCTTGTAGTCCACACAAACGTGTCATTTGTCATTTTTCTTGGGCACCACTACCATGTTGGAGATCCACTTGGGATAATAGACCTCTCTAATTGCCCTTACTTCCAGAAGGTTTCCTACTTCTTCGGCTACTATCTCAGCGTAAAATAGAGCCAACTTATGTTTTCGCTGTATGACCGATCTGGTGGTGAGGTTAACGTTAAGTTGATAATAGATGAAATTCGGGTCAATACCAGGCATATCATACGGTGTCCAGACAAACAATTCGATATTAGAGATCAAAAACTCCATGATATCCTTTCTCTCAGTGCCAGACAAAGATGAGCCGAGCAAGAAAAACTTCTCTAGGTCATTATCGTTGATTCTTACATCTACCAAATCCTCCACTACTTTCTGTTTGGCTGCCTTGCCAACGTCGACAAACATCTCATTGTTTTCCGGTTCGTCCACCATGTGTACGAATCCTTTGGCAGCTCGGCTGCCATTCACGGTCATTAAGTATTGCTTGGACATGATTTGGCCTCCCAGAACCTCTTCAACTACTTCGACTTCGTTTGGGAATCGTATTACTTGATGGTAAGTCGATGCTACGAGTAGCATAGCATGCAACCATGCTCTTCTCAAAATGATGTTGTAAGTAGAGAGCACTTTCAACACCCAAAACTCCACTTGCTTTGTCATCGATCCAATTTTGACCGACAAAATTATCTTGTCAATTGGCCATTCTGGCATTGAATTAAAGCCAACCAACGGGGAAGTTGCCGGTGCCAAGTCTTTGTCCTCTAATTTCAATTGTTTGAAGGTCTCATAGTACATTATCTCGTACAAGCTTCCCTGGTCTATCATGATTCGCTTGATATCAAAATTTTTTATACGCAAAGTAACATATAGCCTGTCATTGTGAGGGTTCTGTAACCTGGTTAAATCCCTATCAGAGAAAGTGATGACGTTCTTTGCTTCCATCTTTTCCCTCTTTATGGTCGGTTGAATACTCAGCACTTCCCGTATGTGCTCTGTTTTTTTTATCATCCCTTTAAGCTCACACACTTGCTCAGGTTCTATGATCTCATGAATCACATTAATCACACCCTAAGGCAAACTATCTATCAATATCCTGTCTGCCACATTGCGATCTTAAGGGACAGGCCGAGCTCCCCCCTCAATGTATCAATCTAAATGGTCGGTTGTCACCAATTCTTCTAGATGTTGCCTTAAAGGAGTACAATTTTCAGTTTGGTGCCCTACTTCATCATGGAAGGTGCACCTATACCTCTCGTCGTAGCCCTTCTGAGCTTTTCCCAACTTGGCAAGCCGCCGAATGAAGGGTTCATCACGTATTTCACTAAGAATTCGGTAAATGGGCTTCTTGAAAACAGTCATACTGGCGGTGCGGGCCCACAACCTTCTTGCCTTAGTGTCTTCATCATTAGGGAGTACACCACGATTGTTGTTGTTAGGTCGACCCTTCCTTTTGACCATATTAATCTTTCCCCGCAAGTTTCTTGTCTGACATCGCTGTTGTGCTGGACCTTACTTTGGCGCGAGCGCCGTCTTCATCTACCCTGATTCCATAGTGAGAAGCGGCGTCACTATCATTGAATCCCTCAGTTTATGGCCCATTGGCAAACCTCGTTTGTATTGCGCAATAGCTACGTTGGTGGGGCAATTGCCTATCTAGTTAAAGGTCTCCCAATATCTGTTATTGTAGGCCTTCAATGTTTCCTTCTCATCCATGTCAATGGCGAGCAATTGATCTATCTTAATTGGTGTCTTGGTGTTTGTCTTAAACCTAGTAACAAACGCCTTCGCAAGTTACACCCAGGAAACAATATTGCCTTCTGGCAACTTTTCAAACTAAGTCAAGCCCAAATCCCCAAGGCTGAATGGAAACAAAATGTACATCATAGCCTCATTCCTTCGGTGTATGGCCATAACTTGGAGAAAGTGGCTTAAATACATGTAAGGATCTGACTTCTTATCGTATATCGTGAACTTAGGCTAATTGAAGCCCAAGGGCAGTGGTGCGTTCTCTATCGTCGAAACGAACGACAAGCTCTACAACCTTGCCAATGCCTTATCGGATGGTTCGTAGGCAAGGCACGGTACTGCCATTCCAACCTTGAAGCTTCCATGCGTCCTAGGCGCCAGTCGCTGCAGAGCTGAGATCTTTTGAAGGTCATGGATCTGGGTGTCTTCTCTCCTTTACACCCTTTCTTCCAGAATAGATCATAGATCCACCAAACTTGGTAGCTTAGTGTACTGAGAGGTGGTTTGGTGAGTGTATGAGGATCGATAATTGCTTCTCTTCGTACAAGACCTTTCAGTCCTCATTCTTTCAGACCTACAGTAACAAGTCCTGGAGGTCCTTGAACGTATATCGCCTGTCCAGAGGCTCCTGCTATCGGACAGTGTAGGTGTAGCCTGCCTATCTCAATCTCTTGAGCGGTGAGAACGAGTTCTTCCTTCTCGGTTTTCCACCATTGCCACAACCTTGCCCTTTATCTAGCATTTCATGGCCTCCATGTCAACTACCATTCTCTTTATCAATTCATCTTGCTCCCTTACGCTATCCTCCAAAACCTGGGCATCCATCATCCGCCGCTATCCATCTGGGCTTTGAAAGCGATGAGGACTTAAGCCTCGTTTTTCTCGCGCGCCCATATGTGGGTTTCGTTGTTAGGGGTCCAAATCTGCCATGGGTGGAACAAAAGGCAAATCCTTATGCCTCTTGTCCTCTTCTAGAGGTTGTCCATCGACAGCAGACTAAGGCAAGTCTTCATTGTGCGCCATTGAACTCAGTTAAAGGAAAACTCAATCAAAAAGTTAGTTCTCTGTAAATCCTTCCCACAGACGGCGCCAATTGTATGAGCACGAAATAATTTGTCTCATATAATCCTGTTGATCAAGCTTACACTCCTCCAAACGTTGTCATCTTATCACCTGAAAACACAAACGTGAGTTAGTTGTGCTAGAAACCCATCCGATGCCTGAGTCAGCAAATAGACAATAGACACAAAAGCTCTGTGAATTCGGGAGTATGAATTGCAATACCTGTGCATAGATTATGTCATGAGTTTTTATAGATTCCGGCAGGCATAATCCTAGGAAGACTAACTCTCCTTAGCAGAATCTTCCTAGGAGTCGCATGCACAAAGATAATGTTTATCCTTAAAACACCCTTATCACTGCAAGCCAAATGAGATGGCAAACTCTTCACTCGGTGGGCCACGCTCGACCAAGCTACCATGTTTCAGTTCATCACTGATCGCACCGCATGTCAGTCCTCCATACAGGATGTGTCGAGCTAGGAGTAACTCAGCCCCCTTCACTTGTCCGGTAGTTTGTTAGCTAGGCCCTAACCCTCCGATCGGCCTATCATCCACTCCACTCAAGATCAAGTTGCTTGAGATCTTTCTTGGCCCACTGCAAGGCCCAACCAATACCGAGCATGTAATTCAACTCAGCTCCATTCGATCACACAAATTACCCTCTCATAAGTTATAAGATTTTATTCTATGGATCTCTTGGATTTCTATAATTTGGTGACTTGTTTTAGAAATGAAACCAACTTTATTTTAAGAAAGGTTGATTGAAACACTTTGTGATTGGTGATACTTTTAGTTAAAATCAGTTTAGTACTTTGAGATAAAAATATCATCCAAGCAATCACAAACATGAGATAGATGATTTATGGTCGGAAAATTTCTACCAATCAAGAAAGTAAAAAATTCATTGTGGAACGAATGATCCAAATCATGATCATGCTTACATCCAAGGCAGGCTTGTTGGTAGTTCCTCACCCAATTCAAAGAAGGATAATTACTAGCACATTCTATTAATTTTCAGTGAATGGATTATTTATTCAAAAGTTTTGAGTGAAATTTTTTTTTAAACATATTTATTCTTGATTTTGATAATTACAAAATTTTGAAACTTTTAAAATATGTTTTGTGTTTGTGGAATGATCATTTGGTATCGATAATGATACTATTAAATTTATTAAAGTAATAAATAGTTAGAACATTTTAACTTTCGTTTGTGGGTTTTTATTTGTTTTTAGTTTATTTGTATTATTTTATATTGAAATATAATGTGGAAAGGGTAAGTAGTAGAAATGTATTTGTTTTATTTTATTTTTTAAATATTTTTAGAGTGATAGATTTATCACTAAAATTTATTACTCCAAATTAAAAAAAAAAATTAACTAAATATAAAATTATTTTATATCAAAATTCATGAATAGGTTAGCCAAATTATTAATTATAAAATTATCGAGATTTGCGTATAGGTCCTAATAAGTAAACTTATTATCCAATAGGACTTATAATAATTAATGACATTTTTCATCAAACACTATTAAAAAACGTCACTAATTGTTAATTTTCAACGACAGTTTAAAAATTATCACAAAAAAAAGTCATTAATTTTTAACTTTCAGCAATAGTTTAAAAAATTCGCCATAAAAAAAATCACTAATTATAAATTTTAGCGACAACTTATAAAAATTATGACAAAAAAAGTCAGTAATTAATAATTTTTAACAACATATGCAAAAAATCGTGATAAAAAATTATTTTTAGCGACGATTTTATTACAAATTATTTTTAATAGAATTTGATAAAAATTAAATACAATTATTAAGATGTATTAATAGTTTACAACAGTGATTTAGACCCCCTCAAACTTTAACCCCCACCACCACACACACGTGGTGGGTGGTGATTGGAACAGGAGAAAAAAAAGAAAAAGAAAAAGTGACCAATAAAAAAAAAAAAGAAGTCAAAAGGAGGTAGAGAAAAGGAGTCCCAATCTTTATTAAATAGGTTATCCTACAATAATTATTAAACTATTGGTAACCCAAATTGGTGAATCAAAGCTGACGTAAAATTACTTGGGGAGGTTGGCATGGTGGGTTGATTCTTGGAGAAGGGGCAAAGCAAAAAGGCTTGGAAAATACGAAACGCCAACTGAATTTCCTACACCAAACAACCCTTTATAACCTTCACATCACACAACCCAACCCAACCCAAAAAACCCTCAATCTCCATTGACCCATTCTCTCATCTCTCTCTCCCCAGAAATTCATATCTGCAACAATCAAGTCCAATTTTGAGCCAATTTTGAATTTTGAAATACAACCAGAAATGGGTATAATCAAAACCACTTTCACATTCATGATGGGAACAATCTGTGGAATCTATATTGCCAGAACCAGAATTACAACATACCCAACATCAGAAAACTCGCCGTGCAAGTTTAGGAGAGCTATCGCAAACCAAAGAACAACAAATACGACGACCTCGATCAATGAATCATTGGTTTAGAGACACTCAGGATAAAAAAATACCCCATTTGTCTGTTATTCTTATTATGTGCAAGATGATTCATATGCTATATGTTGTGTGTTTTTTAGGGTTTTGCTTTGCTGCTTAATTTCAGTGATTTCCGGTTTAGGCGGTGTTGGAAATAAATGGGTTTTTTGTTTCTGTTTTGTTGGTGCTTAATTTTAATTTGATTTGACCCGTTGGTACTTTGAGAGACTGTAGTTTGTATTATGAATATTTGACTCATTTGGATTTTATTGGGAATTTCCAACCCATTTTGCTTGATTTGGTTGCTCATTTTTTGCAAACTCATTTCCCACAACAAAACTCACTTCAGCTACTAAAAAAAAAATTTCAAAATTCAAAAATAAATAATAATAAATAACCCTTAAGAATGTGCTGAACAAACTAATTTTTTAACATTAGCTTCTTTTGTATTCAACTCGTGACGTTGATTATCCGTTTTTTTAGTTAATTGTATTCAACTCATTACTTTTACTACCCGTAGCAGAAGTCAAGGATCGAAACCTATGGTGTACCATTGGCTCAGGATTCATTCCTCACTGTAATTTGAAGCGACTCCTGAGATTTGCCCAGTATATCAGAGATTATTTGGGGCCAAGCTATAGACACCCCTGTGATAAAAAAAAATAAAACAAAAAATAAAGAAACATTTAATTCAATTCGACGATCGTTTTTCTTGACTCAAAAACTGTAAAGCAACAGCTCATCCAGTGATCTTTGACTACAAGAAATTGTGGCAGAAAAATACTTGGTTACCATGACAAAGCTACAATGAAGCATGTGGTGGCATAATCACACAAGGTAGAAATCTTGAAGAACATTTGAAAATGCTATAGTGCAAATACTAACCATTGTGGCAGATTAGTACTCGGGACAATGGCAAGGTTCAGGTTGGTATGCCAAAATTTTTAGAATTCTGTAATAGTTTAACATTAATTCGTTACGGGTTATTTAAGATCATGTGCTAAGAGGTGTTACCATAATTCACCAAAAGTAGCATTGATTACAAATAACAAGTTACAACTAAGTAAGTATGTGATAGAGGCTCAAATGTATGTGAAATGAATTCCTTTAAAACATGCAGCTTCTAAGTATGTGGTTGAAAACTTAATATACATGCGTATATGTAAGGCTTTACAATGCAACAATGAAAGCTTTAACTATGAAAGCTAAGAGATGCACTGATTTTCAAAACACAAGAGCCCTAATTTAATCCTTAACTTGAAGAAAAATGAGAAGAAGAGAGGGGAGGAGATGGCCAAAACAGAATCTTAATGTGTGATTGCTGTGGATAAACCACTAGGATCGCAAGTACACAGCCATAATTACTGGACTCCTGAAACTTCTCAATATATCAAATACGGAAATGTTTATATCATTGTTCTACTGTCGCTTGAGACCCATTGCGAAAGTCCCTAGAGACCCAAATTTTCTGCTTGCAAAGTTGGACAGTCGGGACAACACTTGGCAGCACTCGGTGGTAGTTTGTCAAATATAACAGTATGTGCAGCATTTTGTGGTTTTGTGTTCTGTTTTACTTGAATTTGTTGCAAGCAAGCAAGCTTTATTCAATTGTCAATTTGTCAACAAAAATTTCTAACCTGAAGTTTCTTTCTTCTACAAATAGCAACTGAATATGACAATGGGAGTCATGTGACAACAGAATTTCAAGACGGATCATATGCCATCATCCATTTTACTGGGGTATAGAACCAGTTATCTTTTAGCATCCACCTACACAGTCTTCCATTTCTGTGTTTTTTATTTTACATTTTTCTTTTATTAAATCTCTTAAAATGATTTGATCTCCTACGAGTAAAAATACCATTTCCCATTTGCGAAAACAAGTGGAAACAATTTTGTTGGGCCTATGTATGAGCGTGTCTTTTCACCACACTTCGACCCTTCAATCTCTTTTGGAGGATTAGTTTACAGGGTATGTATTACATGCTATAAATTTGATGATACATTATTGACAACAGTAATGCTCTAGTATGGAGGTTGAGAGGAAGGAGCTAAAAACACTGAATGGCAAGAAGTTGCAAAGAGAAGGCAAACGACAAGGTTGAGCCTCCCACGTCAAATAAGTTGTCTGTTGATGAAATCTTGAAGGATAATTGTGCCTCTATTAGCACCAACATGTTTGAAGTCCTTGAGTCTTCAACACGAAATGGTTAATGCTTGTACTCCATGGACAAGTGTGGAAGATGTGGCTAGTCATCCCCCTCTGAGAGGGGCTTCAGTGGAAAAATGAGAATACCATGACCATGTTTTCATTTCTTGGAATGTGAGAGGCTTTTTGTTGTGTAAGGCCAGCCTCCTCTGTGGTTGTGTATTGAACTTCATTGTATATCTTTTTCGTTTTTTGTTTTTTGTCATCTTTTTTTTTTTTTTTTTGGTTGGAAAAACATGAGAATCAGCTGTTGTTGTTGCTCTTCAAGTGTATATCCACGACTTTAACTTGCTTTTGATTGTTAAGGTATTGTCGTTCTTCTCTGTGAGATCAGGTAGTCTTGTGAGGTGCAGCTGCCAACTGAAGAAGAGGTGGCAAAGCACCATATCATACCATACCATAAGCTTTCAACAGGACAAGTTGGACTATGAAAACAGGTTCATATTTCAGTTGAAACTGCCAGAAAGAACAGTTGCCTTTCTCCTTGATGAATATCAGTTCATTGGCTTAATCTGTTAGTCATGTGAATGAAAAAATAATATTATCATTTATTTTCAACTAAAATTGAAAACAAACTATTTTAGTAACTTTTTGATTTTTTACAAAAAAAATATACAAAAAAGTAGAGACTTATAATGATTTTTGGACTTTCTGGCTAAAATGTTTAGTCTCCCAAACGAGGCCTATTCTTGTTTATTTTAGTATTCACTCACCATTGGCATTAATTTTAGTTATTTTAGTCATGCTAAAAGAGATATCAATATAATTATAGTGTAGAACTAATTATATTTTTTTTAAAACCTCATGAGCTCAGTAATTTACCCTAGTTCATTTTGGGGGCGATGAATATTAGTACCAATTGGATGCCCACAGGTGGATATAAGAAATAGATACCTCTGAGTTAGGGCAAATTATTTTTAAGATAATGTTTGGTAGCCCAAAATTTTGTGGTTCAAATAGCTCAAATCACTCAAAACGACGTCGTTTCGTTTTGAGTGTAAAACGATGTCGATTTGAACCACAAAATTTTGAGCTATCTAGTATTGTTATTATTTTTATTGATGGCTGATATTTGCTATATGCATGATGATTTGGTTTTTTGTTTTTAAAGGATAATTTTGTTCATCTTTAAACTAGAGACGGCTATGCTGTTCCATAAATAGGTCATTTTGGCACTGTTTGACTCTTCACATGCAGAGAAATAAAATTTGGCTGCATCAATTTATTTGATGTTTTCAGCCCAATAAAATAAAAAATTATAATCATTCAGTAGATTTAAAAAAATTCAAATAAGTCTTGAAAATAAAATAAAAAAAGTGAATGAAAATGAAAATCTTACCTTTATACGGAAAAGTTGGTTTTTCGGAGATGTATATCATTTTCTTTTTTCATTTTTCTTTTTTTGCAATATAATGCATTACTTACATATTAATAATTTTGCATTAAAAAAATTTTAAGGTTACCAAATATGCTTGTTAAAAAAATCAGTAGTATATAAAACAACATAACTTTTTAGACTTGATTCTTGCTGGACATTTTAAGGCCAATAATTGCTGTCCATCTTGGGAGAAATCTTTCTCGTGTATATTAAATTTAAGGCCATGTTTGTTTCAAGAATTAGATTAGAGAATAACCAAAACACCATGCAATTATAAACAGAATTATGAGAAATAAGCAATACCATAACACCAGAGTGACAACTGGGACCCACAAGTTTTATCGCCCACCATATCCTTAATTCCGTAAAACAAACATGCCCTAAGCAAAAATGCAGATATTAGTAAAAATAAACACAAACCAGCCAATAGAGAATTCTCTGATTATCCAATGAGTTCGTGCCAAGTGTTCTTTGGAGGAAAAATGAATCAAAAAACAAGAAGAGCCACAAGCTACCTCTTAACATCAAAACAACTGGTACCCACATTTGACAAGTTCTTTCTGATGAGACATAAGTCAATTGGTCCTAGGATTTTAATTCAAATGCCAAACAAACCAATGATTTGAATGTCAACAATGTTGCATGACCACCTATAACTTTCTTACATTTTGAAAGGGCATATGACCAAAGAAGTTCCTAAATATTCAGAACACCAACTAGATTGAAGTCAGCGTCCAAACAATGAATCGCAGATCGCTTACACTGTAGCTTCTATGTTTTCTTAACAAAGTAGCCGAAAAGAAGACCTAGCAGACCGACCACCACCACAAACAACACTGAGAAGCCACCACCGTGCCTTTTGCTGATTTCTCTTCTCATCAGCTCCTGTTCCATAGAAACATCAAATCACAACTATACAATGGAAGAAAAATACAACAAAATCATATTTGCACAAATAACAACAATAATCTATTTCAGAGAACGTATGAGTTAAGAAGAACAAATACAGATACATGCAAAATATATAATTTTACATCTTAAGTAAAGTTAAATAATTACTGATATATATATAAAGCAGAAATAATAATTTTTAAAGTCTAAAAGAGAAGAATAGGCATAAATTTATATTGTCTTTGTTTTATTGTTTGATTTCAAGTTCTGAGTGTTGGAAAATGTCCGACGAGTCATATCGGTGTCCGACACAATATTGGACTTGACACATTACCTTCTTAGAAGTGTCGATCCTTAGCGTACAATGAAGAGAGCATATAAAGGTAAACTTTCAAATGTAAACATTACCTTCTTAAAGTGTCGGTCCTTGCCATAAAGGTGTAAATTTCAAATGCAATCAGCTTGGGAGAGAAACAGTGTCATATATTCACTTCTGCTAATCTAGTGCACATAAATGATAATTTTCAAGTATAGAATAGTACATCAAAGATCTCTTAGTGATGGTTCCGCAAGTTTGAAAAATAGATGACAAGAACGGTGCAATACACTCCATTTAACGAATAATAGGCTCTGCCCTTGCTAGCCAACAGCTTCCTCATTGGCTGACACGAAACTTGGTCAACTCAAAACTCTTCATATGACTTTGAATTTTCAAATCACACACTATCTACGTTCCATGAACTCTTCTATATACCCCAGCAATTTTTTCTTCTTCATGGACTCTTCCTATCTGCTTCTTTTCTTTTTTTCACCCCAAATGATTTCTTCTTTATCATTTTTTTTAGTTCATACCTTAGGAGTTTGAACAAGGTTATTAGATGATCTTTAAACCACAAGCTTAGATTCATGGATTTAAGGTTATTCCATGGTTGGACATTGTTCATTTCACAATATCATGATAAACCAGATCTCCCTAAAGTTCTTTTGTACAACTTACATTTTTCCTTATCAGATCATGATCCCCATTTTAGAAAATTGAAAAAGAAAAATGCTTAATATAAACTACAGTCAAACTGAGCTTGAGCTTGTCAAACCTAGGCAAACACTCTAAGCTTGAGCAGAGCTCAAACACCCCCTCAATGCTTTGCAAAGCCAACTGAAACAACACAATACTTTGCCGGGCTCAGGTCATTAGGAGCCCTAGATAGAGTCTTCAATTGCATGCTCAAGATCTTAACACTTCCAATTCCCCAAATTCCCCTGATGTCTTCTAAGATTTGAGAGAGGTGACAATCTTTGGCATATTGTCAATGAAGTTCAAGCCTAGTAGCCTTACACGAAAATACTAGTTCCCTATCAGCATTTTGGTGAAAAAAATGAGATGAAACAAACTTATAAATATTTACTTTTTTTGGTTAGTCAATTGGTAGGAGAGTAACTACAAATATGAGAACTATTACATCAAATAGACCACCAGCCCAACAATAGCTTGAAAGCTAACAATCACCAAGCCAAGCGCAACAACCACCACTAGCTATATACAATCCCCATAATGGGGGAGAAATAAGCACCACAAATATCAAACTCCTCACACCACAAAGTGGTGCTACATAACCACTAGGCCAAAGGCGCTGGTTTATAAATATGTACATATACACATGTAAAATATTGGAAAGTAGTAGTACTAGTCAACAAAGAACATTGGACTCTAACCCCCAAAGGAAAACATGTTAATGGTGGGAAATTGGTTTTGGCAAAAATATTAGAAAACCTTCGGAAAAAGAAAAGTAGAAAGACAGAAAATCTCTAGACACACCCACATACAAAATTGTTAGAATTTACCTACACCTACCACCACCTACTACCACACCTACTACACCTACCACCAATTTACCCTCACCTACTCCTCACCTACTACCCAAACCCTCTCCTATATAATGAGCCACTCTGATTTGTAATAGAATAGATCAACAATATATATCAATCAATAATACATTTATTCTCTGTAGTTTTCTCTTTATACATATATTTTTACAAAAATGCATGTGGGGGCTGTAATAACTCATACTACAAACTAAGCTACAGACTTTTCATACCTGCACTCCACAATCACAATTATATCTCAGAACCAAACAAAAAAACCTACGCTATAATGCCCTCACTGGGTTCGCTGGTTTTTTTTATGTTAGGCAATGATATGACTGAAGTGAAATCATTAAGCTTAACATGGTGAGTGGTTTCAACCAAAATAGGAAAGGTGCACATAACAAGATAGAAATAGCAGAAAACATCAATTTAATTGTCTGACACATTATAGTAAATTCAAAATTTTAAGGCTAAACAATGCATAAGATAATTAATCATGGTTAAGCATATACCAATTCCTGACGGAGTTTCTGATTTTGCTGAACAGCAGAAGCTTTCTCGTCTGTCAACTTGGACATCAAAGACCATGCCTGAAGGATAAAGATATATCATAAAATTCCCATCCAATGGCAATATTGGAAAACAATCAAACAACCAAGCTACACAGTTGAAGCACCAGTTGGAGCTACAAAACTTGCATGCCTAGATAATCTTTTCCAACTTCACAAAGTCCAAATAATGTTTTTATATTCGGTGTCCACATGCACATGTGCTGTTAAAACCTACCATCACCTACTCCACCTACCACCACCTACTACCACCTACTACACACCTACCAGGCTACCACTACCACCTACTCCACTACATCTCCTATATAAGGAGCCCCTCACCATTTGTAATTAAAAACATACATCAATCAATAATACATCAATTTTAACATGGTATCAGAGCAGGTTTAGAATCTAATAATTCTGCTTCACCGGTGGGCGGCAGTCTCGCCTTGGCCGCCCGCCGGACCTCTACACATACCTTCACTTTCCTGCATCTTCCAACTCTCTTTATCATTTTGGTGCTCCTCTCCTACTGCACACTCATGTGATTGGTTATCAAATTGTTGAGCAGGATCTTCAAGGTGTTTCTCATTTGGCTGTGGCTAATCTGAAGTAGATGTGTCATATTCATCACCCACCTTAGGAACTCCGGTATCCAAGTCCACCCCGGCTTGTTCGACGCCGAGTTTGCCCGAGCCGAAGCTGAGTTCGGCTTCGCATTCCCTCCTGACCTCAAAGCCGTACTCTCAGCAGGCTCTCCTGATCCGAGTCACAATCCTCGGCCTCGTCTACGTCCTCGCCTTCATCAGTCGTCTCTTCAGCGTCCTCCGCTACAAGAGCATGATCCACGAGTTCGATCCCTACTTCAATTACAGGACCACTCTGTTCCTGACCGAGAAGGGCTTTTACGAGTTCTGGAACTGGTTCGATTCCGAGAGCTGGTACCCTCTAGGTCGCATCATCGGCGGCACTCTCTACCCGGTTCTCATGGTCACTGCCGTTCTAATCTACTGGGCTATCAAGTTCCTCCGATTCTCCGTCCACATCCGCGAGGTCCGTTGCTGGCTCTTATGCTAAGAGCATCACCCTCTGAAACCTCATTGATGTTTCCAACATCCTCGAGCTCTCTCTCTTCAAGGCCATGAAGTAAAAAAAAAAACAAAAAATAATACGGGCAGCAGCGGCTGTCTCTCTCTCTCTCTCTCGGGCATTGTCTCTCTCTCTTCCTTTTTGGCAGTTTGAAATCACACTTCTCACTCCCTCTCTACTCAAGTCCATCCACGATATGTCTACTTTCCAACACCCATCCCCCTTTTTTATTTTTAAACCAATCTCCACCAGCACAAAACATGCTCATCTGCAAACCCCACACCCTCTCTCTCCACTTTATCACATGGATTTGTCCTCTCTCTCTTCTCCGCTTGATTTCAACATCTCTTATTTTTATTTATTTTCTCCAAACCACTTTTCATCTCTTTCAAATACCCACTTTTATTTTATTATATAATCCACATACCCATCATTCTTTTCCCCCCTCAAATATATTATCCTAGCCTTCATTGATTCCACTGGCTTCCAACACTTCATTTTATTTCTTATTATTATTATTATTATTTTCACCACAAAAAAAAAAACAAAAAAAAACTACATTCATACCATATAGATTTACATTCCACAACCTTGTCCTTTTATTCATCTCAGGGATCAACCCCGATCACAAAAACAAAAAAAAAACAAAAAAAACAAACCACAACACTACAAGATTTGTTTTCTTTTCTGCAGACGGCCACCCACCGACCTCACTTTTTCGCCTATTCTGCCGGTCTTTTCTTCTTGCCTCCGTCCTGGGCGGCCCTTGACGGTGTTGCCTCCGTGTTTCCCACTCCACTGGGCACGATCACTCCACCCTGCTCCTCCACTACAGCATATGGCGGACCTCCAAATCGGAACATAACGGTGGCCTTCCGCTTCAGCTCCTTATTTTCCGCCTTTAGCACACTTATCTCTGCTCGCGCATCCTTATACATGCGTTGGAGCAGAGCCAGTTGGGCGTTTAACTGCTGCACCTCATTTGTCCTACTCTGCAGCCGGTGCGACAAATTTGTAACCGCAGTCATGGTTTCCACACATGACTTCAAGGTATACTGATTCGCCTCAATATCTGATTGCGCTGCCATTCTTTGCTCCACAGACCGCAAAGGAAAGTTCAACGGAGCAAAACCAGAGGTGTTTGGTTGAGGTTCACAGGCCACCGCACCAGTTATCTAATCCAGTATCCGAAAAATGCCACTTTCTATTGGAGCCGGTGGCATTAGACCATGTTGTATAGCAGTCGGAGCAGATCATTTAGTTTTAATATGGAAGGTACTGTCATTAGGAGGGTCATTCCTTCAGACAACAGTTGCCTCTTCAATGCTGTTGGGTATGTTATGGACCATGACAAAAACAAAGCTCCCGAGTTGAGACAGGTTATAGCTGCGACAGTGGCAAGTGATCCGACACAATATTCTGAAGCATTTGGGAAGCCAAATGAAGAGTACTGCACCTGGATTCTTGACCCAGAGAAGTGGGGAGGTGCGTTTTGAACTTTTGAAAGATTGGGCACACCTTTTGAGGGTGCGACTTTTTAGGGATCCGACAAGACTCTGTAAAATGTCCCGACATTGATTCCGGTTAGCTCCTTCATGGGTCCGACAAGACTCTGTAAACTGTCCCGACATTGATTTCGGTTAGTTTCTACAAGGGTCCAGCAAGACTCCGTAAACTGTCACAACAACTGTCACAACATTGTCTGCTACAACGGTCCGACATGACCCCATAAACTGTCTTCTACATCGGTCCAACACAAGCCAGTGTCTTCTACATCAGTCTGCCATAAACATACAGTCTTCTACAACGGTCTGACACGACCATACAGTGTCTCCTATCCATTTTTTATTTTTCAGATTATTTTCTTGTTTTGTTACTCTCTCCAAACTCAAGTTGGTTAGTTCCTATCCCCCTTGAGTTTGCGGGGGGCTGTTAAAACCTACCATCACCTACTCCACCTACTACACCTACCACCTACTCCCACCTACTACACACCTACCACTACCACCTACTCCACTACATCTCCTATATAAGGAGCCCCTCACCATTTGTAATTAAAAACATACATCAATCAATAATACATCAATTTTAACAGGGCATTAGAGAAGTAGAAAAAGAAGATCTCCAACTTCGCAAAGTCCAAATAATGTTTTTTTTTTTTTTTTAATATTTTAGTGTCCACAACTGTCAAAATGTATATACAAACTGTGAATGTACAAAAATTACACAGATTGCATATTGAACATGCTAATACGTTTGTATTTGTACCAAACCACATTCAATCAATAAATAGATTGTTCTCTACATAATGCATAATGTTTTTCTAAATCTTCTTGTGCAAACGATACATTGCTGCATAATGAGATGTCACTGTTTTGTGGAGTGATCATATGTGCAATTACTAATCATAACAATGATTGTCTTAATCAAGCCAAGTGAAGGAATTTGATCCATGTAAATCCAAGAAATTGGGACAACCATTTATTGAAATAAGTTGAGTTGTTGACAATGATTATTTTGCCGTGACAATGAAGGCAGTGACGATGATAAACCAACAAGGAAACAATAATTAGAACAAGATAGTGAAATAAAATGAACTAAAAACAATATGTTCAAATGTTGACAACATTAGTTAATAATGTGTGGTACCTAACTTGAAGCAATAGAACATAGGACATGGCTATGGGTACAAGACATGTCTGGCAGACCTAATGTGAAACACATACCACATTGGTGATGCCAAATAAAGATGCAAAGAAAAACATTGTTAGTTCTCTCACTATTCCAACCAACAGAGTGGCCCAGCGGTCAAGGCACTTATGCTCCAGTTTATGTGGTTGGGTTCAATCAACATCCCCTTCCCCTCCCCCTTAGATTAAGAGACAGTAGGCTTTCCAGTTTAAAAATAAACAATAATAATTTTTTTTTGCAAAAAAACAAAAAAGAAAAAAAAGAACTAAAAAAGCTCCTCTTACCATTCTATCGGGTACATTCCAAACTCATTACTCTAATACATGAATATTTGACATTGAGCACATTACATGTGCTTTACATGCTATACTAAACACATTAGTCCACCCAAGGATAGAAAGGAAGGAAACATTACAAACTTCTGACAATCCAGTAGTGTCAGCTAGGCTACTATTTCTAAGGAAAATTGAATCTGGCATGACACACACTTATATCCAAATTCATGCAATAATGGGCTAAACCACTAAAGTATGCAACAAAATTTTTGCAATACGTCCATTGATATATCAACATTTTTAAGAACTCGGTAGGTCCATTTTATTGATAGGCTACACACTACTTTCATAACAATTTTATCAACTCCAGCAGCCTTTTGCAAAACCATAATTGCAACAATAAATCCATCATTTTAATAATTTTGGGACCGTGACCTGTTTCATCAATAGTTTATACTTGGACTGAAGTAGTCAAGCAGGGTGGTTTGACAAGCTTAGTGAAGTGATATTGATTTATGGACTCCAACAGAGGTCACTATACAATTAAAAATGTGTAAAAAAATAAGGGCGAATTGCACTAACAATCCCTGTGGTTTGAATTTGTGTCACTTTGGTCCATAACTTTTCAATTGTGATACATTTGATCTTGAATTTTGAACCTTATTCCAAACAAGCACAAAGATATTTCGTTTGCAAATGATCCATTTCAAAGGCAAAGTGGTCATACAACTTATTTTGCATTGGTTAACTTGTATGTTGTTTGAAATGTAATGATCTTTTTTAATGAATAATGTTGAAATTTTCTTGGTTATAAAATTTAGTTTGGTTTGGTTTTCAGAACCTATTTTCAATAAATTTTTCTAGCAAACTAAAAATTAAATTAGTGAAAAAAATTAAAAATACATCATTTTTATATAATTTTATCTTTTGGGATAGAAATAATTTTTTTCATATTTATTTTCGTTAAATTAGTTTCTAGTTTTTCAAAAGTCAAACATGGCGACAATTTTGATGTCAAACATGGCAACAACTTTGACGTCATTATTAAACCAATCCATTAAATCAAAAAAATCCAAAACTAAAAATATTTTATATATTAACTATATCGATTACACATTAAAAACCTAATAACCATCTATTACATGATAACTATCCAAAAATATCAACAAAAACAACCATCCATTACTGATCCTCATCCAGAAACATACTAAAATTTAATTTGGTAAAAAAATAAAAAAATAAAAATGTAAAAGATTTATCATTTTTATATAATTTTATCTTTGGTATACGTAGAAATAATTTTTTAAAATTCAAAAATAATTTTTTGACATTTATTTTTGTCAAACTAGTTTATATTTTATTAAATTGATGACTTTGCCCTTGAAAAGGAGCAACTTTGTCTTCAATTGTCTTTATTTAGAACGAGATTCAAAATTCACAGTCAGATGTATCACAATTAAAAAGTCATGGACCAAAGTGACACAAGCCCCAAACTATAAGGACCGTTAGTATAATTCACCCCAAAAATAATGATTTCTCAACAAAAATAATAAACATCTCACATGAATATAATAATTTAGATGGAATTCTTCTAAGCAGCCAGTGCTACTTGGAATTGAAATTAACCTTGCAGTTGGGCACTCAACCCACAGGTTAAATTTATATGTGGAAAGTCCTCACAGTATGTGCAGAGAGAATAGTGAGCGCAATGAATCTTGCTCCCACTTTTGACGATAGAAAGGCGTAATGATGTAATGATTATAGAGGGATTGGTGTCATTGTTACCCTGCAACAGTGAACTCCCCCTATGGGATCAATGGGGGTGTCACAGAGAAGGAGGTGGATGTTCCCCCTGGAACTGAAGGAGCAACGCCCCTTTTCACTCCACAAGGACCAAGAATCAAGATCAAACAAACACTTGCTCACAAAGAATAAGCTTAGATTATATTGCTAAAACTCTTAAAAATCAACCCATCTACAAGCTTAACTTCACTATATATTTCAATTTCAAAAGCAAGTGAACCTCGACAGGCACTTTCTAGTTGATGTGATTTTAAAAAACCGATTGGAGATAAATATATGTCAGGCATTTGACATGTAACATTTGACACCTTCAAGTTTCAAATACTAATTCAACCAACTCTAGTTCAAATGAGCTAATGAATACAATTCAAAATGCCCGTAGTGACAAACCATACTGTTTCAGACATTATGCCTCCAACCATCCTCCTCCCCACTCCATCCTCCAAAGAAAGTTCAAGGTTGATGTTTTAACTGTCAGAACTGAGACAAAGAAGCCCTAGTTGAACAACATGAGCATCCAAAAAGAATGCTTCTATGACCTCATAATTATTGAAGTACCAATGCCTCTCAATTTGTTTTAACAATAGATAAATCTGAAGATAGGGAGACAAAAAAAAGAAGAAGAAGAAAGAAAGAAAGAAAGAAACCAACAAAACCCTAGGTTGAGTTTGGTAAAGCTTTCAAAAGTTGATTCTACCCCTTGGTTTGAGGGGAGTGTTTGGTTAACGATTTCAAAAATTGATTCCACACCCACTTTTCAAAACACGTCTACCTGGTCACCTGGTCATCTCCCCAGACGTCCCCCCGGACGTCCGGCTGGTTGACCGGAACAATGTTCGTTTTTTTTTTTTTTTTTTGGCACCTGTTATTTAAAAAAAAAAAAAAACGCCCAATTAGTACACATTAATGTGTGTTTGGGAGAAGAAAGATTAAGTACACACCTAACCTTTGGCATAATGCACAAAATGGTGGCCCCAAGACTTGAACCTATAACCTTAAGGTTATTAGGCCAAGTCTTAACCATTGAAAAATAAAAAATAAAAAATATTTTCGGAATGTTTTTTAAATTTTTTATGAGCTTTGAATAGAATTTTGGATTGTGTGTTTGGTTATAAATTGTAAATTTTTTAATCAAATATCATATGTCACATCATTCATTTCAAACTCAATTCAAAACTCTTAACCAAACAAATTTTCCACACTCAAACTATAAGTCCAGGTCCAAGATTCACAAACTCAAAATACAATTCTATTCTCAAATCATAATTCTAAAACTCTACCAAACGTTACCTCAATTTTTCATGCCATAACAACTGTTGGGTCATAATCAAAGCTAACCGGAATCAATGTCGGGACAGTTTATGGGGTCATGTCGGACCGTTGTAGCAGACAATGTTGTGACAGTTGTTGTGACAGTTTACAGAGTCTTGCTGTACCCTTGTAGAAACTAACCGGAATCTATGTCGGGACAGTTTACAGAGTCTTGTCGGACCCCTGAAGGAGCTAACCGGAATCAATGTCGGGACAGTTTACAGAGTCTTGTCGGACCCCTAAAAAGTCGTGCCCTCAAAAGGTGTGCCCAATCTTTTAAAAGACGTGCCATCAAAAGGCGTGCCCAAGCCATCAAAAGGCGTGCCATGAAAAGGCGTGCCCAATCTGTCGTCTAGCGCCGAGCGGCGCACGATGCGTGTGTCGGCCTTGGCTATTTAACCAAGACGAAGGCTGAGGCTGAGGCGAAGACAAACAACTGGCGAAAATCCTCTGAAAAACTCTTCCGTTTCTGAGAGAGAGACTCTGTAACACTCTGTTGCCCAGAAAATGGCTTCGTCGTCCCGTGGTCTGCTCACTCTCTTTCCCGACCTCAACGAGTCAACAAGAGAGATAACGGGTGCGGTGGCCAGTGAACCTCAACCAAACACTTCCGGCTTTGCTCCGTTGAACTTTCCGATGCGGTCTGTGGAGCAAAAAATGGCGGTGCAAACTGATATTGAGGCCAATCAGTATACTTTGAAGTCGTGTGTGGAGACCATGACGGCGGTCACAAACCTGTCGCACCGGCTGCAGAGTAGGACAAATGAGGTGCAGCAGTTAAACGCCCAACTGGCTCTGCTCCAACGCATGTATAAGGATGCGCAAGCAGAGATAAGCGAAAATTATCAATAAATCTTATTTTCAATCGCATTAATGATTCCTATTAAATTTAATGTATACAATTAAGTCTTATTTTTTTAAAAATTTATTCTAAAAAAGTTTACTTTTCCTTAATAATATCTTTTATTCATTTACCATTCTTATTAAAATATTAACAACATTTTTTTAAACAATTTTAATTTACTTAAAAAAAATATATTTTTTACTTGCAAAAATTAAACAAACTACATCAAACAAAATCAAACTTAACAATTTGATCAAAAGTACTATGACATAGGATTCATCATTTTCTATTGCCTTGTACTCTGAAAAATATATTTAGCAAACAATCCAAAAAGTCTATTTTTTTTAATATTTCATAAAAGAAATTGTGAAAAATAATATCTTGGTCAATTCATATATATATATATATAGTTGTGGTCCCTTTTTTTTTTTTTTTTTTTTTTATTTTTTTTTATTTTTTTTTTTTTTTTTTTTTTTTTTTTTGTGTTTGGTGTGGGGGTGTGTCTTGTGTTTACTCAAATCCATGTTCTGCAGAGAGAAGGCTATGGAGCGCACTGTCATAAACAGAGAGGAAGGGGGAAGAAAATAAAGTATAAAAGAAAAGAAAAAAAAGGAAGAGAAGTGTGTGAGGGGTAAAAGAATAAAAAATAAAAAAGAAATAGGAAAGTAGAGGGAGTAAAGTAAAGAAATAGGAATGTGGCGTGGGCTTGTCAAAAGATGGAGGAAAGTAAAGATTAAAAAAAAAAGAAAAGAAATAGGAAAGTAGATGGTGGAGGGAAAGTAGAAATAGGAGAGAGATAAAAAATAAGAATAATAATTAAAAAAAAAAAGAGAGTGGAGAGACAGGTGCAAATCAATTTGTGCAAAAGTGGACAGTCTGTGCAAGATAGTATAATAAACATATACAGATATAGATAGATTAAAATAAAAAAAAGTGGCGTGGGGTTGTGTGTGCTGTGTTGTTGTTGAATCGGTGAATTGTTTTTGGTGTGTGTGTGTGTGTGGGCTGGTGCTCCATGCGATTGAATTGTTTTTGGTGTGTGTGTGTGTGGGCTGGTGCTCCATGCGATTGAGTGGTGGTTTTTCATGCCGCCGGAGCCATTGCCTTGGGATCGGAAGGACTTCTTCAAGGAGAGGAAGCACGAGAGGTTTTCGGATTCCGTAGGGTCCGTGTCTAGATGGAGAGATACTACTCCGCACTCCTCCCGCGATTTTGCTCGCTGGGGACCGCCCGACGTACGCACCAAACCTCCAGGTCAAGGCAAGCAGGGTGGTTGGCACATCTTTTCGGAAGAATCTGGACATGGGTTCACGCCGTCTCGGTCCAATGAGAAGATTTTGGATGATGAGAGTTGTCGGCCGTATGGGGGGTCTCGTGCCGATGGGAAGTACATCAGGAATAGCAGCAGGGAATATAGAGGGGGTTCGATTAGCCAGAAGAATTGGAAAGGTCACTCTTGGGAAAATGGCTCATCTCCGAACGGTCATGGTCCTGCGAGGCCGGTTGATGTGAATGATCAGAGGTCAGTTCATGATAATAAGCTAACGCATAACACTCATCTTCATTCTGTCTTTGTAAACACATGGGATTACACGGGTTTGATCACCCGGGTTTGATCACCCGGGTGGGATTACCATCCCTTGTCGGATCTCCGAGTGGGAGAGCGTCCAGACCCGGATCGCTGCCGGCCGTGGCCGCCGGAAATTGATGACGAGGAAGATGACTGCGATTTGGAGAGGGAAGCTATTGGTGAGTGGTGAAGAAGAGTAAAGGTATGTGTTTGTGATATGTGTTGAAAAAAAAAAAAACTCCCGCGGGCAGCGAAGGCAAGGTTGTCGGCCGGCTGCCCGCCGGAAAGAAAGGAGTATAGGCCTAAATCTTATAGCTCTGATACCATGTAAAATATATTGATAGAGATAAATTGTATGTATTATTTTATTGATCTGTTGCTATATTTACAATTAGGCGTAATGATGTAATGATTATAGAGGGATTGGTGTCATTGTTACCCTGCAACAGTGAACTCCCCCTATGGGATCAATGGGGGTGTCACAGAGAAGGAGGTGGATGTTTCCCCTGGAACTGAAGGAGCAACGCCCCTTTTCACTCCACAAGGACCAAGAATCAAGATCAAACAAACACTTGCTCACAAAGAATAAGCTTAGATTATATTGCTAAAACTCTTAAAAATCAACCCATCTACAAGCTTAACTTCACTATATATTTCAATTTCAAAAGCAAGTGAACCTCAACAGGCACTTTCTAGTTGATGTGATTTTTAAAAACCGACTGGAGATAAATATATGTCAGGCATTTGACATGTAACATTTGACACCTTCAAGTTTCAAATACTAATTCAACCAACTCTAGTTCTGAGCCCTATTTCGAAAGGCTTGTTCGGGTTATAGAGACTTAGTCTGGTTCGGAAGGTTTGTTCAAGCTATAAAGACTTAGTCTAGTTTGTTCGGACTGTAAGGACTTAGTCTGGTACGCCACGAACTGTAGGGCCTGAGCCCTATTTCGCCTGAGCCCTATTTCGAAAGGCTTGTTCGGGTTATAGAGACTTAGTCTGGTTCGGAAGGTTTGTTCAAGCTATAAAGACTTAGTCTAGTTTGTTCGGACTGTAAGGACTTAGTCTGGTACGCCACGAACTGTAGGGCCTGAGCCCTATTTCGCCTGAGCCCTATTTCGAAAGGCTTGTTCGGGTTATAGAGACTTAGTCTGGTTCGGAAGGTTTGTTCAAGCTATAAAGACTTAGTCTGGTACGCGTAAGCTGACCCAAGATACTCTACATGACAAAATATATATATATATATATTTTCTCTTTCTTTCAAATCTTATAAATTAATTAATTATTTTTTTTCTTTTTCTTATCTTTTTTTTTTAATATTTTACCCATCAATCAATTAAGTTTTCTCTCACATGCATTTATTTAATTACAAAAAAATTACAAATTACTCAAAAACTATTTTTAAAATATTAAATTTTACAAACTCTTTTCAAAAAGTATCTTTTAAAATTAATTCTCAAAACTAACCCAAGCAGAAGTTATATATATTTAAATTTGAATTTGAATACCACTATATCTACGAAATTTTCCTTCGCTCAAATTGTCTGGTTGAATAAGATGCGAAGAAAAGTTTGGTGAATCAAACATTTTTGTTTAAATTTTATTATGTCAATTTAAACAGTCATGATACATATATGTAAGTTATGATAAGTTGCTAAAATTTTTAACTCATAAAATATAATAATAAGTTATAATAGAAAATCACATAAATATATCATAATTAAAATAATGAGTCATAACTAACACCAATTATAATCTATAAATGTCATAATTAAGATATATGACACACACCTCTAAGATATGGCATGCATTATAAAATTTCTCAAAAAATACTCTGTTTTCTTCATCTTCTTCATCTTTACCCCCCCCCCCCCCCCCTTTTTTCCCCAAATTGCTCTTTACCCGCTGCTGTCACATTGCTTCTCCCTGACTGTACCTCTACAGTTACCCTCATTACGTCACCTCTCCATATTTTTTTTTTTTTTTTTTTGGTGCAAAGAAAATAGTATTAAGGATTAAATAGGTATTTTAATAAATAAAACTATTGGCATTAACAAAATCAACTAGTTGACCTAATAATTGACTTAGAGAATGGGGTATTTGTTATGCAATTTATGTATTTTTTAACACTTAAGAGAGAAATTTATATTTTAGACAAATCTTAGGAATTGTATCTGTAATTTACCCAAAAAATAAATATATCCAAATTTAATCTTTATAATGTAGATTAAAATTTAATACAATGTATTCTAATAACAACTACAATGCTACTCTTCATTTTACCTAATCACTTGTTCATCTTTGTACTCCAACAAAGTCTTTTTTAAACAACCTATTGGAGAAATTTTAAGGATGATGATTTCTACATGCTCCATTCTATCAGGCCTGACCTTGATTATATTTATTAAATATATGAGAGCTACTATTAGCCACTATATAATTTCTTAGGACGCTTTGTCCCTTTTTTTATTATCATTTGTCTCCAACACAAATTTTCATTTTACCCCCATCTCTAACATCTCAACACTAACCCTAACCCTATCAACAACCACCAACCAACTTTGGTCACATTTCTTACCAATTTCACCCAACTCCCTAGTTTTTACCTCTTGTCTGCCCCTCTCTGGCAACCCTCACCACCACCCGCGCTTCTTTCGTGTTGATTGCCAACCCCCCAACTACTCTCCAGCCCTCGTTCTACCTATCGATGCTACTATCACTGCGATATCCTACCTTCTTTTCTCTATCACTCGCTTTCGCTCTAAGGTTTCTGAAATGATAAAAATCTCTCTTAAGGGCTTAATTTTTATTACAATTTCTCTTTTTTGTTACTTTATTGTAAAAAAATTAAAAAATAACTCATATGTTAATATCATCAAATAATTTAATTATATTTTTATTTTGTCCTTTAAAATTCTGTCCAATTACAAAGAAAGAAAAAAAATCATTTTTATTTTCTCTTTTTGTTATGTCTGCACTTATTGTTAATTGTGTGTGCCTTCCATTTCAATAATCTCATATATTCATTTTGTAAGGCTATCCGTGTTTATCATCCATAAAAAAATAAAAAAAATAAAAAAAGATTGATTTAATAATCCTAGCATTTTTATTTTTTTATGTTTGTCTTCAAAAAAATAGATAGTCTATTTTCAAAAACAAAATTGCCATATATTTTTCCATAGACAAACGCAACAAAAAAAATACAATTATTTAATTGATCTAATTTTTCTTTGAATAAAAACCTCAAAAAAAAATAAAAATGATTTAGGTTATCAAAATAACAGCCAAGGTCCCACACAACAGATCTCTCAAGTTGAAAGCCCAACCCAATTTGGATATGGGTGGAAAATGCATAAGGTGTGGGCCATTAGTGGGCTTGGTGGTAAATTGTGACGCACGAACCTTGTTAGCTGTAATCTACAAATGGAAATGTTTCCAGACTGTCTCAAAAAACCAGTACAACACCTGCCTTATAAAAAGACAACAAAGAAAAAATAAATAAAATTTGCAGTACCTGACACTTGTCAGACACCCATTAAATGCCAAACACTTGCCCTTACCCCAGGTGGGTAGTGAAAAATGTGATTTGTTAATATTTTGTGGGAAAAATATTTATTGGTACAAATTATATGAATGATACTCAAAATACATCCTCTATGTTTGATTTGCTTTTTAAAATAGTTTTTATTATTTTTTAAATAAATAAATTTTGATAAGAATAAATGCTAAAAAAATAATTTTGAATTTTCAAAAATTAATTCTGAAAAAATATTTATATTTTTCATTTTTTCACCAAATTATGTTTTAAATTTTTAGAAATATTTCTTATGGGTTGGATGTGATGTTTTGTTTGTTATGGCTAAAATAGCCTATTTTGTTTTTTGTGGCTAAAATAGCCAAAAAATCCCAACCAACTTCTTCCCAAACGATGCCTCAATGTTTGATTTGCTTTTTAAAATAGTTTTTTATTATTTTTTAAATAAATAAATTTTGATAAGAATAAATGCTAAAAAATATAATTTTGAATTTTCAAAAATTAATTCTGAAAAAATATTTATATTTTTCATTTTTTCACCAAATTATGTTTTAAATTTTTAGAAATATTTCTTTAAAAAAAATATATGCGAATCAAACTAAATAGAACTATCAAATCTCATAATTTTAATATAATTATATTAATTTTGTTAAAATTTTCATTTACATAACAATTAGTCTAATTTAAGTCCTTTTTCGTGTAATAAAATATTTAAATATTGTCATATAAAAATATTATAATAAATCATAATCAAACATCATTTGAAGCATAATTAAAGATTCGATGCACCACTTTACACATAACAAAAAATATAAGAAATTAGCAAAGGTTTTTTCGATTAATAACCAGAATAATACACCATGAGTTACAATCAAGTCATAATTTGTATATTTTAGAATTTTCCATTATTTTTATATTTTTTTATAAAAAAATATTTTGATACAAGTGAAATTTATGATTTTTGATAAATTTGATTAACACAAATGAGGATTTGATTTCAGATCAAGAATATATATATATATATTTTTTTTTTTTTTAACTTTGAAAGAAATTATTTTTATGAGCCTTTTACATAGGATCACATAGAGTAATAAAAAAATTTATCAGTCATTAGCAAATTTGTTTCTATTTGACTTTCAATTATTAAAATTTTTTACACAAAGTATTAAGACTCAAAATCAGTTTTTCATTTTAAAAAAAAATTCTCATGCATCACACGGGTCACCTACTGGTTAACATTAATATATTTGAAGTGTAATAATTGTACTATCAAAGTGTAGTTTTGGAAAGTTAATATTTTTTAAGTGTAATAATTGCACTACCAAAGAAAGTTAAATTTTTCGGAAGGGACTAATATTTTGGGATGGTAAAAATATCAACTTTTCAAAACTATCCTTTGATAATACAATTATTACACTTCAAAAATAATATTAATGAATTTAAAAGAATGAAAAAATAGAAAATTCATGTTATTTTGAACCTTAATTTTTGAAAATAAATAAAGAACTAATATTTTAAGACGGATAAAGTACTTTTAATGTGACATCATATTCTATTATTTTTAAAAACTTCAAAGAAAAAAAAAAAAAGCAATTCCCAAACACCTTAAGGAAAAAAAATAACTAAAAAGGCAAAAAAATCAAAAAGCCTTAAATAAGCAAACTACAAGCACCTTAGAAATAATAATCAATGACTTATATTCATTTTATATATGGA